CTGGATCAACCATTATCCCTTCTTGGTTGACCACGTGACCCAAGAATTGGACTTCACGAATCCAAAAATCACATTTGGAGAACTTAGCATACAACTTCTCCTTCTTTAAGACTTCTAACACTTCTCGCAAGTGTCTGCCATGCTCCTCCTGGCTTTTTGAGTAAATCAGAATGTCGTCTATGAACACTATCACAGATTTATCAAGGAACGGATTACAAACTCTGTTCATTAAATCTATGAATGCTGCCGGAGCATTGGTTAGTCCAAACGACATAACCAAGAACTCGTAGTGTCCATATCTAGTTCTGAATGCAGTCTTCTCTATATCCTGCTCTCTTACTTTCAGCTGATGATATCCTGACCTAAGATCGATCTTCGAGAAATAGCTCGAACCTTGCAATTGATCAAACAGGTCATCAATCCTTGGCAACGGATATCTATTCTTTATTGTTGCCTTGTTCAGCTCTCTGTAATCGATGCACATTCTCATACTTCCATCTTTCTTCTTCACGAATAACACCGGAGCTCCCCAGGGTGATGAACTAGGTTTAATGAAACCTTTTTCCAACAACTACTGAAGTTGCATCATTAGCTCCTTCATCTCCGTCGGTGCTAATCGATAAGGTGCTTTTCCTATTGCGTGGTTCCTGGTAACAAGTCAATTCTAAACTCTACTTGTCTATCAGGAGGTAATCCAGCAAGATCTTCGGGAAATACTTCCGGATAATCACACACCACTGGAATACTCCGCATCACCTTCTTCTCCTTCTTAGCATCAATCACGAATGCTAAATATGATGTACATCCCTTGGTCAAAAACTTTCTGGCTTTCATTAGGGAAATGATTCCAGAATTCATTCGACGTTTGTCTCCATACACCATAAACGAATCTTTTCCAGGCGGGTTTACTTTAACTATCTTCTTCTTGCATAAAATTTCGGCATCATTGGCACTGAGCCAATCCATTCCCAACACGATGTCGAAACCATTAAGTTCGATGGGCAATAATTCCTCGCGGAACTTATTCCCATTCAACTCGATTAAGATGTTTTTCATACGATGGCTAACAGGTACAAACTTGCCACTAGCAACTTCGACTAATAAAGCATTATCTAGTCTATCAATAGGCAAAGCTAGTTTTCTACCAAATTCATGCGATATAAAGGAGTAGTTGGCTCCATAATCAAATAAAATTTGGGCAGGCAAATTGTTAACGAGAAAGGTACCTGAAGCGACATCAGCTTCATCCTTAGCGGCTTCCAGTGTCATCTGGAATGCTCTCGCCTTCGGCTTTGGTGGAATGTTGGGCTTAGCTGTCTCCTTCTTCTTCAGACAATCTTTCAAAATGTGCCCCTCTTCATTACAACCAAAACACATCCTTTTGTTGTTCGGACATTTATTGGCAAAATGTCCAACCTTCCCACACTTGTAGCAGGTCACATCCTCGCTATATTTCCCAAAGTGCTTTTTCTTACACTTTTCACACCACTTCGCTTCTCCTCCTTTTCCCCCACCAAACCTTTTCGAATCAGATTTCAAAAATTTACTTTTCTTACCGGAACCAGATGTTCCCTCAAACTTCCTCTTCTCACCAACCTCAACCTTGTTGGTGGTTCTCCCCTTTATCATGTTCTCAACAAACTTGGCAGCCCAGATAGCTGCCTCTAAAGTATGTGCCAGACGTACTGGCACCTCGTACTCCCATGGGAGTCCCTTCGCATACCGGTCCACCTTCGTCAGCTCGTCTGGAACGATACGCAAGGCAAACTCCATCTTATCGGTGAAGTTATTGGTGTATTCATCAACTAACATGTTGCCTTTCGTTAGTGTCAGAAACTTGTTCTCCAATTCCAACAGATTTTGAGCCGAGCAGAACTTGCGCTTGAACTGCACCAAGAATTCTGCCCATGACAATTGCAGTGGCTCACTTGGGCTTAAAGTCTTCCCTAGAGTGTTCCACCAACGAACGGCTCCACCTCGGAATTGACGCACTGCATAGATGGTCTGCAACTTGCCTCTGCAGCCACAAGTTATGAAGGCCAGTTCCATTTCTGAGATCCAATCCATAACTCCAATCGGATCCTCCTTTCCATTGAAGGTCGATGGTTTGCAAGTTAGAAAGTCCTTGTACTTGCATCCCATTCCATCATTCCTTCCATTATGGTTGTCTCGCCTAACTATCGGTGGGTTGGCTTGACCAACAGACCTACTGAAGTTTCCACCTTCCGAGTGCCCTTCATTTAATTCGAGCTCTTCCTCATGAATTGACAGTTCTTCATGATTCTGTTGAAGCAACCGCCTAGTCTCCTCCATTTGACGATCCAACATTGTTTGAATCATCATTTGCACACCAACCATGGTTATTGGCTCAGGTGCTGCTGCTACGGCAGGTCTTTGCTCAAGTGGTTGATTCCTGTTTTCATCAGCATTTCCAACTCCACTTCTTGTTCTCACCATTTTTGATCTACACACCGAATAAGGTGAAATTAGATCCTCATTCACGATAGATATTCAAATCATCCTTATCACTCCGGAACGTTTACATGCTAGTTCTAATATCGTAGACGTACGCTTAGAATCCTACACACATAAAGTTTCTAGATCCGGTCGGCAACAGACTATAGATCCGAACAAATAATATCATATATGGCAACATATAACATTTAGCACATAAAGCATTTTAGGCAACTTTCCTAAAATAAACTAGTGCTCGTGTCTAAAATATAACAGACACACATCTCAAAATTTCACTTAGCATTCTAAGTTTAAGTCTACAAATCCTAAAAATTCCTAGTTCGCTTAAACTAATGCTCTGATACCAACTGTGACATCCCCAAAATCTCGGCCAGAAAAGACCGATTTTCATTTATGCTTTTAAAATAAATTCAGAGTAAATCCTTTTGATTTGAAAGAGTTGCGGAATTTGTTCCCAAAAACAAAATATGATAAAACAATGTTTACCAAAGCATTTCATAAAAGAAATGTATTTTTCATTATATAATCAAAACTCGGGGTGTCATGTTCCGATATAGATCAATAAGCATAAACGATAACATTACAAGTCATTCAACAAATATATATATATATATATATATATATATATATATATATATATATATATCAGACTTGTAAACAAAACAACTTGATGGTTCATCCATCTTACGCCCTTGCGCCACTTCCTGTAATACAAATAAAACTGAGTGGGTCAGGCTTGGGAGCCTGGTGAGCATATAGGGTTTTCAACCCACAATAAGTAATTAAATTAATTATTATCAACCAACAATAACCCAGTTACCCATTCCCGTTATTCTCACTTTACGTCCCTAAAATAACTAACACAAGGGACCTAATCTAAAAATATTTTCATCAGGGTGACAACACATGCTGCGGGGTTTCCTCAGCAATATAAGTCAAATAAGGCAACCATGAGGGGGATGGAATACAGCGAATGAACACCCAAGTTCATTAACACCTACAGGTTATGAGCCTGCTAGCGTTCCACTGGACTGTCTAGAAAAGTCTGTGGTTGTCATCTAAATTCCGCTAGATGACTGGATCAAAACAACAACGAGGTCTCTCATCTGTTTATTACACACCGACTATCTACCCATGTTCTACCCAACATATTAGTAGATAAAAACATACATTTTTATACCTATTTTCAAAACATGTATAGCATGCTTGATCAATACATTTTCCATATAACAGATGAGGCACACACACATAACACGTATTTCATATAGAAATAATCATATCTGTAAGATAGAAGAAGGTGAATATACATTCACACACATAACAACAAAATATACACATAACACGTATCTCGTATAAAATACTTTATAGTTATACTTTAGGAGAAAGTAACAACGCCTTCGCACGTATAAACGACGATAAACTTAATACACTCAAACCATACTTGTATTATTATTGCGTTTATGAAAGGTAGTATACACTCACTTGATCAGAAGATGATCAGACAGCACTACGGCTTGCAAAAGTAGTAATCCGCAGCAGATCTGGAAGATCTCTACAAAAATCAAACTTCTCGCGGGCAGAGCTTCGGCTCGGAAACTGTACTTCTCGGGATCTTCGGGATCTCGGGACTTGCTTCGGGACTCGGGAATATTACCGGGGCTTCGGGGTACTTCTGGCACGCAAATCGATGCAAAACGGGAGAGAGAAGAGAGAAAATAGCAACCCTAAACGGCTGGCCCTTCAAATCTATTTATAGGGCAATTTTGGTCCTTGCCACGTCGTGGCAACCTTTTTCCACGTCGTGGGCTTGGTCGTCACTGCATGCGTCATCCCAAGTTGCATCCGGGGGCCTCCCGGAGGTGTCAGGATATTTTCCACGTCGTGGCACTGCTTGCCACGTCGTGGTCTCTGATAGTTTTGGGGTTTCGCGCCCCGAACTTCAGAAATTCATAACTTTCGCATACGAACTCCGTTTTCGACGTTCTTTATATCGCCGCGAAGGTGAGATTATGATCTACAACTCTCGTTTAGACTCCATTGGCTAATTTTGACTTTATTTTTAATATATTATAAGTATATTACTTATATATTATTTTTAGTAGGCCGGGTCAGAAAAACTCCGTTCGAAATTCATAACTCCTTCATCTGAACTCCGATTCCGTCCGTCATTCCGTCGTTGCACTACTATCGATGAGATATTCAATTCTCATTTAGATCACTAAGGATAGATATCTATCTACCTTAAATTCACTATTTACATCGCGTTGGGTCGCGCTGGGTCGTGCCGGTTCTGTCGCGAAACTTCGACAGGTCATAACTTCTTCGTTATAACTCGGATTTCGGCATTCTTTATATCTTCGGAAACCTTGTTTCAACTACTACAACATTATCTAAAGATATCGAGTTTATTTTACACTTAAATTTTGATGCTTATTTTTATTCTTAATTAATCAAACCACATAATTAAGCAATTAAGCACAAAACACATAATACTCAAATAATACACTTCTATTATTTCAAAATGGGTTACAAAGGTTAACCTAGACCATTACATTGATAAAAATGGCTAGCCCAGAAACACAGGCGTTACAATATAAACCTTGATCACCTTGTTAGACCTGATATACTTAGATAGCATACTAACATCATCATCATTACCAAGAGCTCTAAGACAAAAATCCAAGTTTTCTTTGGGTATTCTAATATGGTAATACATTACAAGGAGCACCACATATCCTGGTTGTTCATCACACTGTCTAACTAATACACTGGGAACTCGTCTATGACAATCAAGTCTACATATCTCACTTGCCCATGCACATACCTTATTCTTAGAAAACGTGTGGACTTCCCACCATGGTGCAGTTCAACTGTGAACAACGTGGATTACATCTACACACAAACACAAAACAAAAAAAAACAAAAAACAAAAACAAAACAACAACAAACCAGTCAAAAACCACAAATCAACTTAGCAATTTGCTTAATCATCCAAAAACGAGACAATGATACTCACCATACATAGTCATTGCATCAAAGAAACAGTCAACATGTCTTATCGTCCACATTGTAAGTACAATATTCTATTATATTCAAGCAATCGAGAGTTTAGCTCTATGATGGATTAGGGTTCTCTTATGATTGTGCACTCAATAAAGGAGGGAGGATGCTAAGGGTTGATGACATTTAGGACTAATTATGTCATTAATGACAAGGTTTAAGGTTGGCGGTAAATATATTGACGTGTCGTTCAACATGAAAAGATGAAAATACACTCATGTAAGGGGAATGTGCTTAAGAAAACGATGGCATTTTAATGGTTGTTATAGTTAGGGACTAAATCCACAATGAAACTCTCACATAAAAACACCCTTGTGCAAAATAAATTTTTTTGGACCTTTGTCAAAGAAAATTGCAAACCACACTAACCACTTTTGCAATTTTCTCGGATGAATCATATTGTATTCAGTGGTTTCTTTTGCAATTTTCTCGGATGAATCATATTTATTGTATTCAGTGGTTTCAAAATTATTCGTAAAAATATCTTCTAGTATTTTTTGGAAACAGATAGTCTCATTGCAACAACTGGGAGTACCATGTTCCAAAAAATGCACACCCAATTGCCCAAACAACCCTTTATTGGAAACTTTTCTCAAAATATGACCAATGAGGAACAAGTAATATACATGTTAAACTAGAATCCAAATATTACATACCAAATATAACTCACAACATAAACTTTAAACCTAAAGTTCATAAGTTTAAACACCAATACCATCAAAACCAACTTGCTAATCAAAGCAATCAAACCTGTGAAAAAATAATAAAACAAATTGATAAGTTTAAATAATCTTTCTTTTTGTTGAGTGTGATAAAATTAAGAAAACTAACCTGATTAGCCCATGATGATATGAGATGATGAGCGATTGCAAAAGGTCCAGGAACAACCATCGATGCAAGTTCCCCACTTTCAACACTAAAATCCGCAGCAAGATTTTGACCTTTTTCAACCCCTTTGCATATCTTGTCAACCTTAATTGCAGTTGTTTTTTGTGCCTTTCCATATTCAGCAAAAGTCAACGCTCTCTTCACTTCTTCTCTACTTTTCCATTCCGCATCTATGCAAAAACAAGAAACCTCAACATCATTTGCATTTCACAATATAAATATGATTAAAAAAATTTGTAAAAATCTAGACTTACCATCTAACTCTTTTTTGTCCACATTTATTTCAAGTGATGATGCGTATGCGAAGAACCCTACCATTAGTTGGCATGGCATGCTACTACTTCCAACTGCAAACAAACCCAATAAACAACTTTTAATTCTCTAAAATTATGAGTTGTAAAAAATTCTCTTTTGCAATTTTGCTACTACTTCCTTTTTTACTACAATTAACCATAGTAAAAAAATATTACCTGGCCATGGTTGAGAACTATGATAAACAACGTCATCAACTTCAACGCCTGTCTCCTCCCATGTTTCTCTCCTTACTGCCTCTTCTAAGCTTTCTCCAGGCTAACCAATATTTAAATAAAAATAAAAACAAAATCCACATTGGATTTAATCCGATAAGCTAGGGAATAGAGGTTTTACATTTTACAAAATTTCCCTGGTTTTATTTAATCTTTCCACGTGTGCTTTTATTTTCTCAAATGCTTTTTAAACAACATATTCTTTAGAATGGAGCGATTATCAATTACTATAAATAGCAACGTTAGATTTTTTGAAATGAAAATTGTACTAAAAGTCTAAAACGTACCTCAAGAAAACCAGCAAGACAAGTCCACATTCTAGGCACAAATCTTGTTTGTTTACTAAAAAGTGCACGATCGTTTTCTTTATCTATCACCAACATAATGACAACCTATAGAACACGTAAAATGATAATAAGATTAAAAATCGATAGAATTTTAAGAATGATTTTAGCATACCGGATCGATTCGTGGGTAGATCTTCTTTTTGCAAGATTCATTTACACATTGCTTCCTTCTCCCAGCTTCAATGGGAATTAATTTTCCACCACAAGATCCGCAAAAACGTGATGTATTATGCCATTCTAGTAACGCTCTCGCCTAAATAATTCCCCAAAAATTAATAATATAAATTTTTGTTTAAAAAATCAATAAAAATAACTACCACTTATAATTCTAAGAATTACTTTTTCTAGTAAAAATATCTATATATTAGTTTACTGGAACTAGAAAGTGTTTAATTTTGGGTTGGAAAGATCGGTAATATAGTAATTTTTGTTTTTATCAAAAACGAATTATTTGATCTCCAATCAGAATCAAAATCATTTTTTACCCAAACCATAAGAGGTTAAATATCCTCTTAAGTACACGATCATCACAAGTGTCAAAATCAAAGGATAAAACGAGGAAAGAGAATTAGTGTTTTACACATGAAAATCTTTAATTTGAAATCACAATAGTAAGATATTCGGGTCAAAATTGCACGTCCAAACACCAGTTAAAATTCAAAACATGTCAAAGAAGATTCAATCGTGAAGATGATCATCAAATGGAAATGGGGTTTAATCTGAATTACGAACTTACATGACCAGCAATAGCAAGTTGGCCCATTGCAGTATCATCAGCCCAATCAGTCGCCACCATTAAAGTCGTCAACTGCACAAAACAAAGCTGCTGACTACCAAATTTCTCCACCAAACTCTCCCCTTCACTCACATCGATTCCCCAATACACAACATTCGCGTCTTCTCCTTCACTTTCATAACCCAAATAAACCAACAAATCTTCACTCAATTTAACCTCTGAACCCTCCAAAACATCTCGAAAATCAACCAAATTAAACCAACCCAGATGCCATTTCTTGACCAAATCACCAGTTGATCCAGCTAAAGGTCTCCCTTTTCTAAAAGGCAAGATCTTGAAAGTTAGGGAAGATGGTTCTTGGATTTGGGTTTGCCCTACAAGAAGAGTCTTGAGGGTTTCAAAGGCTGATGTGTGTGAAAATGGATCCGTTGATTTCGGGGTTTTGGATTTTATCGGATTGCCTGCAAAAACTGGAGATTTTAGGCTTATTGACATGGTGGTGAACTGGTTTTTTGTAAAAATGATAGATTTCGAGGGAAATTTTATTGGAGAACAAAGAGGATAGTAAAGCGGTGATGGAACATGGGAGTGTTTCTCGGGTACCCATTTTTAGGTTTTATACGAGAAAAGTCTCGTGGGAAGCTCCGAGGATCTGTGTAGGTGAACAGTGACGACGACTAAATAATTATGCTCGTGCTCTTTTTGAGATTATGCCTAGTAAAAGGGCCAAGATTACTAAACCAAAAGATATGTACAAGTTGTGAAGAAATAGGTATAAGCTATAATGCATTTGTTACTTCGTGTTGGAATATTACAAGCTCTGAGTTAAATGAAATGGATGAGTTTTTATGAAAAAATTTCTAATAAAAATGAAAATTTTGAAAACTTGGTTTTAATGATTTTTTTTTAGATTGTATGTAAATTAAAAAAATGATTTTTACAGTTTTTTAAAAAATTTTAAATTTTTAAAATAGAAAATAAAAATTCCACCGATTTTAACCAAATACATTTCTGAAATTTTCATTGAAAAATGAAAATAAAAACTCTATTTTATTTTCTAAAAAAAATGAAAACAGTTTTCCACAACCAAACGCATTTTAAATGTCTGATTTTTTTTTTTTTAATTACCAGTGTAAATGAAGTTGTTTGAAAAACCAGATACTAAAGAATATGGTTTTGGTCCTTTTGGACTTTGGAGCCGTTTAAGAGGTGGAATATTGAGCAATTATGAAACAGTGTGGCCGACAACTTTAGAAAAAATTGCCAAAAACACATTTGGGATGTCTACATGGTCAATGAGAATAAAGAATCGTGGTGGCGGAATGAATATGTCGAAACTAAGATCAAGATTTAAAAAAAAAAAAAAAAACAACTTAGATTAAAGGAGTTGTTATTGAGTAGGTCAGAGCAAAGGAAAGATAATGTGATGTGAAGACTAAAGGAAATAATATGGTACATGAAGAGGTGTACATGATGTTGGATGCAAAGGGTGGAGAAAATGGAATCTACAAGCTTCAAAAGTCATAAAAAAGAAGGAAATATGACATAGGATATTTAAAGTATATTAAGGATGACAACAACATAATCATAATGAAAGATGAAGATTTTAAAAAGAAATGACGTAGTTTTATCCATTTTTATTCAATGATGTCACTCCATTGGTGAGGGATAGGAATGTGGAGGACATTCAAGGATTGTGTAGTCGGTGGAGATGAGGGAGCATGGTAGCTGACAAACCTTTTAACATATCTAGAAGGCACTTATGAATGCATACTTAATTAGTATGCCAATTATAGATTATTAAACTAATTAGTCATACGATAAAGGTTTGGGAGAGGTGTTGGAGGCTAGGTTAAGACTTGAAACAAATTAAAGATGAATTCCACTTTATGTCTAGGATGTCAACAACTAAGGCGATCCACCTCTCGAGATGCCTTATCAAAAAATATAGAGAAAAACATAAGACCTCTACATTATGCTCATTGACTTTAAGAAGGCGTATGCTAGTGTACCGTAAGAGACGATCTAGAGGGGTCATGGAAGCGAGAAGGGTTCCATAAAGTTACGACATGACAAGCTATCATGATATGTAATGTCGTTATAACATGTGTTTGAGCTATAGTAAATTGATAACAAACCCTTTTCGATCTATTGTAATTAGGAATACATCACATATTGTCTGTTAGCTTATAATATTCCTTATGATTATGGATTGCATTTCTCGTAAGATTTAAAGAGATGAACCATGTTTTTTTGTTATCGATTTTTTTTTTGGTTTTTGTTTTAGGAGAGACTAGGACTTAGTTGATACTATGTTATATAGAGGCTATAGGGGGTTATTGGAAGGAAAAATTGCTATCAATCAACACAATTAAAATGAAATATCTCTTGTGCAATTTAAACGGAGAGGGAAATGGTATGGATAGAATTATATACATGTGAGCAAGTTCTACATCCAAATGAGAGTTTCAAAGTAATTGGTTTTGTGATTCATAAGAAACGGGTGACGCCATCAATGGTAAACTAGGTAAAAAAAGTTGTGGCGGCTTGGACAGGTCAATAGGAAACAACCGAAAGTTGTAGTTAGGATGATGGATATGGTTAATGTTGATGATACGAGAAGGAGTTGATGTCCAAGAAGGATATATATATATATATATATATATATATATATATATATATATATATAAGACAACGTAAGGTTAGACTCAAAGGAGTTAACTTTTATCGAAAATATTTTCTTAAATATTGAAAGCGTAGAGGCTTAAAATCAAGGTAGTTAAGTATATTATACGAGTAATCTAGGTACAACTTCTTCTTTTACAATATTTACCGTCTCATTTTATTGTCTATACGATTTAAACTTTCATTACTAGTACATAATGACTTAGGAGGGTAATTAGGTTTTCAGTTTGTCCATATTAGGTCATTAAGGTTTTTTTGTGCGTATTAAACTGATATGGTTGTTATTACCGTTTAAAATGGTCATTTTTACTGGTTATACAGGAAGAAACCGGTAAAAATAACTATTTCTAAACGGTAATAACAACCATATTGGTCTAATACGCACAAAAAACCTTAGTGACCTAATACGGACAAACTGGAAACCTAATTACCCTCCTAAATCATTAACCCTAATTATTTGGAAAACATGCGTATTAATCAATGTGACTGACTTGTTTGATTGAAAATAGCTGCTTCCATTTAAACTTATTAAACAACCATTCCAGAATTTTCAAGTCCAAAAACTCATATGATTGATGATCTTCATTACATAAATATGCAACATTTTATCAATAACTTCTTTTTTGTCATTTAAATGTTTACATGAACACATCCATATGTACAAAAACAATCTCACTTTGATACCTCCCATCAATGTCTACATTTGATAACAAAGAGAAATGTAAAACCAACAGGGACTTACAAAGGATGCCTATTATCAATTATTTTATAAATAGCAAAATCACAACATGAACTAAGAAATTGAAGTTGCAAAATGAATAAAAAAATCAGTACATAAACAAACACATACTATATACAACACATAAACGAAAGTTTATAAAACATGAAACTTAATGATAGGAAAAGTAAAAAAACTTAAAGAAGACTTTATAGAAAGAAAGATCACCCTTACTTGCCACAAATGGTTGAAGACATCAATAAGAAGATCAATCTGACAATGTAATCCACATGTTGTCTGATCATGACTTTAGTAGTTCTTCTACTGAAACATAAGAATTGCAATTGAACTCTATTAGCATTTGAAAAATGAATTAGGGTTTCAGAGAAGACGACGAAGGGTTTAAAAAAATGGATCATTTCTCGATTTGTGCGTGTCATCCTTGCCTAGGGGTCATGTTAATCTTCTCTGTATCGTTCCAATTTTATCGGATGCCCCCGAAAGGACGACTATAGATGAAGAGTTTTGTCATATAGAGGAATAGCAGGTTCTTCTTCTGGTCGATATGGGACGACGCGAGTTCTAAACGAACTAGTTTATTGTTGATGGTCATATATTCTCAATGTCTTTAAAATTAAGGTTAATGACTTAGGATGGTAATTAGGTTTCCAGTTTGCCATATTAGGTTACTATTTTTTTTTTGTGCGTATTAGACCAATATGGTTGTTATTACCGTTTAGAAATAGTCATTTATATCGGTTAAACAGGAAGAAACCGGTAAAAAAGATTATTTCTAAACGATACTATCAACCATATTAGTCTAATATGCAAAAAAAAAAAAAAAAAAAAAAAAAAAAAAAAAAAAACTTTAGTGACCTAATACGGATAAACTAGAAACCTAATTACCCTCCTAAGTCATTATCCCTTCTTGTAATTAAAATCGCTCGGTAGCAATATGTGCATGTGTTATGTGTAGTCTTGATGTTAGATATGTCATAAAACTAATGTCAATTAGGTCACTGAAATTACATGTTTACGCCAAACTAACATATTTAATCCAATTAGGTCATTAAACCATACATGTTTATGCCAAACACTCGATTCCCACATGAACCAATCAACCAAACAATAGACTTAGTATCTTTTTATTGAGATAGGCAAGAATGAAATATTTTATTTGACCAAAATCAAAATTAGTCGGTAGACACTTAACTTATTTCAAAATTTAAAAGACCATGTAACTTGTTAATTTTACTAATGGAGTCGAGCAATGACAAAAGTTTTTATGTTTATTGAACTTATAATATATAAAAACAAGTTTGACTAACTTATGTAGGACTTATGTAAAATAAACCTGGTGAAATTTTTTGTAGTTGACATTTTATAGCGAAGCACAAAACGCAATGATACTCTCTTCCTCTTCCCTTATCACTTCATCCATTACTCCACCACAAAACCACCAATCTCTGAATCTTCTTTCAAAATGCAAGAACATGGAAGAATTCAAACAAATTCATGCTCAAATGATAAAAAACGGCCTCCACAAGTCCCAGTTTGCCTTAAGCAAGATTCTCCATTTTTGTGCTATCAACAGTTATGGCGACCTTTCATACGCCCTTTCAGTATTTGACACCATTGAAGACCAGCCTGATCCGATCATATGGAACACAATTATAAGAGGTTATTCATTAAATTCATCACCGTTTTCAGCAATTGATTTTTACAAGTTCATGCTTTTATCCGATGTCGAACCAAACTCTTATACTTTTCCTTCTCTTTTGAAATCTTGTGCAAGAATCGACGGGATAAACGAAGGGAAACAGATTCATGGACATGTTTTGAAGCTTGGACTTAGTTACGATGTGTTCATCCACACCTCTTTGATTAATTTCTATTCTCAAAGTGGAGAATTGGATGATGCCAGATTAGTGTTCGATAAAAGTCCTCTGAGAGACCCTGTTTCCTTCACAGCATTAATCACAGGGTACATAAGTCGAGAGCGTTTCAAAGACGCTCGTAAACTGTTCGATGAAATGCCTCTTAGAGATGTAGTGTCATGGAACTCTATCATAGCTGGTCATACTAAAATCCAACGCTTCCAAGAGGCAATAGATCTGTTCAAAGAGATGCAAATCGCCAAAATCAAACCCAATGAGAGCACACTAGTGACAGTTCTTTCTGCTTGTGCTCAATCAGGTTGTCTTACAACAGGTGAACACATCAAAACTTGGATCTTTAACAATAAACTTGATTCAAACCTTCGCCTTGTGAATGCCCTAATCGATATGTACTCAAAATGCAATGAGCTACACAAAGCTAGAAGCTTATTTGATAGCATAAACAATAAGAATATAATTACATGGAATGTTATGATAGGTGGGTATGCACATACACACCATTATAAAGAATCCATGGACCTCTTTAGAATCATGTTGCAATCAAACCATAAACCTAATGAAGTCACATTGTTGATGATTCTTCCCACTTGTGCTCACATGGGTGCACTTGATCTTGGCAAATGGATCCATGCTTATATCAACAAGAACATTCCAGAATCTTCTAACCCTTCTCTTTCCACTAGTCTAATCGATATGTATGCTAAATGTGGAGACATTGAAGCTGCAAAATCAGTCTTTGAGAGTTTAAAACACAAAAGTTTAGCTTCATGGAACGCGATGATTTCAGGGTTAGCCATGCATAGACAAGCCCACAAAGCCATTGAACTTTTCAAGAAAATGGTAAATGACGGTTTCACCCCCGATGACATAACTTTTGTTGGTGTTCTATCCGCATGTAGCCATGGCGGACTAGTCAACTCAGGTCGCCACCTTTTTCACTCCATGATCCAAGATTTCAAGATTTTACCCAAACTACAACACTACGGATGCATGATTGATCTTTTAGGTAGAGCTGGTTTGTTTGAAGAAGCCATGGATATGATCAAGAAAATGGAAGTGAACCCAGATGGTGCGATTTGGGGTTCACTTCTCGGGGCGTGTACATTTTACCAAAATACCCTTTTGGGTGAATTCTTTTTCAAGAAAGTTGTAGAATTGGACCCCGAAAGTTCGGGTGCTCATGTGATGTTATCAAATCTTTATGCTGCAAATGGACAATGGGATGATGTGGCAAGAATAAGAACTAAATTTAAAGATGATGGATCAAAGAAAATTCCTGGGTGTACTTCGATTGAAATAGATGGTATTGTTCATGAGTTTCTTGCAAGTGATAGAACACATCCCATGAGTGATCAAATCTATGCAATGTTGGAAGAAACTAATCGGGTTCTTGAAAAGAGTGGATATGTTTTGGATACATCTTTAGTGCTTTATGACATGGATGATGAATGGAAGGAAGGGCAATTATGTCAACATAGTGAGAGATTAGCAATTGCTTTTGGGTTGATTAGTACTAAGCCAGGGACAACGATTAGGATAATGAAGAATTTGCGTGTTTGTAGTAATTGTCATTCAGCTACGAAGTTGATTTCCAAGATTTTTGAGAGGGAGATTATTGCTAGGGATAGGAATAGGTTTCATCATTTCAAAAATGGGATTTGTACTTGTATGGATCAATGGTGATGAATGATGTTCTTGAACTTGAAAGGATGTTAATTTATTTGAGTTGGGTTGTTAAAATAGTTTGGAGAATTTGTTAAGGAAACCCTTGAAGTAGTTAGTGCAAAAAGAAATCTTGATAGGGTATTTAACTCGCTTATGTAAAATGGTAGAGGTGAAATATGATTAATGATAAATATAGTATAAACTTGCAAGTAAAACAAAATTAGAAGGTTATAGATTTTTATCCCTAATGAAGACTCCTAATGAGTTAAGGAGACTAGGAGAGTATTAATAAAAGGAAATAAAGTAAACTTTTAAATAAATAAAATAAACACTAATTAATTTTATCAAGATTCGTAACCAAAAAACCACCAAATGCGATACTCTAAGTCCATTTCCTCTGTGTTGTTAGGTTTCATGTATCATCCTCTCGTTTGGAAAGGCTCGTTTATGTCCAAAGATTTTTCTTAGCTATAACAACCTTTTTCCGATGCTTGATTCATGCCTAATTCGATATTCTTGTTGAATTCTTGGATTTGTTTATATACCTTGTTACAATGGCGATTTTAGAACTTAAACTCATGTATGTCCAACTTAATTTGATAATTTGAGTAATGAATACATGGATCTAAAAAATTTGGTTATTGCCTTATTGAGTCAATTTTTGCAATTACAACTACAATCACAGTTTTATAATTCAATATAATTTTTAATGATATTCATAATGGTAATTACAAACCTAATTTATACAACTCAAAACAATTATCAACAAACAAACAAATTCAGATTATTCTAAATTTCTAATACACATGTGAAACTAACTCAATTAATAATGACAGTCAAACAACATGTTCTTGTCTTTTTGACAAATGACAACTTACCCCCAAATGTTTCATTCTAGATTTGATCTTTAAATTTCGGATGTTTTTTTTTTTTTTTTTCTTTTCGGTTTTTTCTAGAAAGAATTTTCAAGGATCTCTATTTATGTCCGAAATATCTATTTTAAAGTGTTTAATATCATTGTTTTTCAATCAAAATGTCTGATTTTATATCATAATATTGTATATAGTTCACAATTAAATTACTATGTTTATTTAAGTTTTGTTGAAAAGGGTCTATGGTTGAAAATGTTAATGGTCGAAATGGGAAAAAGCAATTACCACAAAACAATAAGGCGCGGACTCAAAAGCGAATTAAAATTCAAATAATCGGGGCCAGAAACGACAGTGCTCCTCCACGTTAGCACACAGCCACACCTCTTCTTCTTCCGTACATAATCTGAATCCCTTCCCCAATGTATAATTCCTCCACCTACAAAAAGCTGTCCTAATCGCTCTGAATTTCTTTAACCCACATTGCGTTCTTCGTTGATTCAAGGGACATCACTGCTGTAGAGGTAAAATTCCTACGAAAAACTGCATGATTGCTTCTGCGATGTTCGATTACTACTCTGATGTATTAGTTATGTGTAAGCTTGCTTGTGAGCTTTTCTAGGGTTTGTGATCTGATTTTAGGTTTTGTAATTATTTGAGTAAAACGAGATCATTCCGATTCTTCTCCTGGAAGTAACTTTGGATTCAGGGTTTCGTTAATGGGTTTTTGATTTTGTCGTTCCCGATTCCTTTAATGTAATTAGGGCTTTTTATATGCTTCAAGAAAGTTTTCATGTCGATGTATTTACAGATAACCATGCCAAAGAAGAGACGAGATCACTCAGCCTCCACCGATAAGTCCCGGCGTTCTCCATACAAATGCAACACCAAAAACAAAAACCCATCAGAAAAAGATCAAAATCTAAAAGAATGGGAAGAAGCTAAATGCCCTGTATGTATGGAACACCCTCACAACGCCATCCTTCTCTTATGCTCTTCACACAGCAACAATTGTCGCCCTTACATGTGTGATACAAGCCGCCGCCACTCCAATTGCTTCAACCAGTTCCGCAAGTCCTTTGTAACTCCTGCCACCACATCGGAGCCACCGTCCACCGCCACATTCCAGGAGTCAAAAATGGTATGTCCGCTCTGTCGGGGGCAGGTAAAAGGGTGGGTGGTGGTGGAAGCCGCCCGTGAATTCATGAACGCGAAATCAAGAAGCTGCTCAAGTGGAACGTGTGAGTTTTCCGGGACGTATTCGGATCTAAGGAGGCACGCGAGGGTTGTGCACCCTCTGGTAAGACCATCGGAGGCGGATCCTGGGCGGCAGCAGGACTGGCGGCGGCTGGAAAGCGAGAGGAATCTTGGGGATTTGTTGAGTATACTTGAATCATCAATGGAATCT